TAAGGAAGACTGCCACCTGGAGTCTGCAAGTGACACGGAGAGTGGATGGGCCTGACTGGTAACCGTGGGAAGTATGTGGTTAAGAAGATAAATGGCCAGCAGCAGAAGCTCCTTGGAGAATTCCCAGAGGTAGATACTAAGTCACATTTCAGCTTTGTTTTCTGGACTGAATGACATGAAGGAGATGGTCCACCACAAACATGTGCCACTGCCTTCTACTTTCGTAGGGTCCATCAATTTACCCCTAATTTCACAAACACTGAAATAATGTTCCTTAGCTTTACAAAGAACCAAAATTGTTTCATATTTGTTGGCTCTCCCTATTCCATCCTATTACAGGTTGAGCATTCCTAAATCTGAAAATCCAAAATGCTCCACAGTCTGAAATTTTGTGGATGCAACCAAAAATTCTACACCTAACTTCGTGAAACAGGTGGCACTCAACACAAAGGTACACTAAAATTTGTATAAATTACCTCCAGGCTATGTGGAAGATGTGTATGAAACATAAATGAACTTTATATTTATATTTGTGAGTCTCATTCCCAGAGTCTCATTTTGGATATGTAAATCTTTCAAAAATCTGAAAAAGTCTGAAACCCAAACTTGTCTGATACCAGGCATTTCTGCTAAGGTATATCCGAGCTGTGTAATATTTCACTCTACGCTTCCTACAGGAAGATAATGCAAACTATCCAGGATAGACAGGGATGATTTCCGAAATGAAAGTGACTGACGTTGGCTTTAAAGATTCAGGAGGTCGGGTGGGGTGCGGACAGGAGAAGAAGCTGGCAGAACATCTCCAAAAATCAACTGGCTGAACTTTTTTGTAAAAAAAGAAAACTTCGTGTTACCTTGCTGCCATTTCCTTTCAAACTCTTAGATAAATGTTAAAAACTAAGACATCAAAAAATTAGGTGCCTTGTTTCTATTATCCTTGATCTTTTCTTAGTGACATAGGTAACTAATCAGCCCTGGAGGTCAACAACCTATGAATAACTGCAGAGACGGAAGTAAGGAAAATAAATGACTAGAGACTAGAAAAGTCAGGCCAACTGACGCAAGGGCCCCTGTAAGCGCCCGCCTGAAGAGCACAGCCCTCATTTTCAGAGTCTTCAGAAATGACCAGATGCCCCTGCCTGTTCAGTGAGCAATCTGTCTCTCTCAGACAACAGTGCCCCCTGCCCACCCCCTACCTCCACACACACCTGTCACTTTAGTAATTAACTAAGGGAAGGAATGTGCCCAGAGGTGAGCAGGGAGCTATCTTCCTAGTCCCCACAACTGTGAAGAATTATCTAAATGTGAATGTCATGTCAAACCCAGTGAGCTTGTCTTTGAATAGGCCAAGGAGGATCAGCAGCAGATGTCCCTTCTAAGTCTTTCTTCTAAGTCAAAGGTGAGAATTTCTACTATGCTACTCTGAATTAGCAGCTATGAGTGAACATAAATGTTTATATTTGCTTATAATACACACACACACACACACACAGATGTGCACACACATGCAATCACACTCTGTATTCTATATTCACAGATTCAACCACCTGGGTCACAATATCAAATATATCCAAAAAATTCAGGGGGAAATAATTGCATCTGTACTACACATGTACAGACTTTTTTTATCTTCACTCTTCAAACTATACAGTATAGCAATGACTAACAAAACACTACATATTAAGGATTATAAATCACCTATCTAGAGATAATTTAAAGCATACAGGAGGATGTGACTAGGTACTATGCAAATACTATGTCATTCTCATACAAGGGAGTTCAACATCCATAGATTTTGGTATCTGTGGGAGTGCTGCGACCAATTTCCCAAGTGATAGCAAGGAATGACTGTGTGTATCTCTGTTCTAAGTAAAAACTGCTTTTGGAGTGAGTGGGTAAATCCTTGTCCTCAGCTACTGAGTAACCCAATTATTTCTGCCATAAAGTAAGGTCTCGCCAATACACAGTAAGAATGCCACTAGATCATACATCATTTCTGTTCCAACTACAGGCAGGGCTCATAGAAAAACAAAATAATGACCATTTTTTAAATTTACATCTAACCGATCTTTTTTTAAAAAAGCAAGAACACCTCATCTCCAAATCTTAATATACTTTCAACCAAATAACCTTAAAGTCACAGTCCAACATAGCCACTACCCTTAAAGAAGGAAGACAGTACCACACACATCACTGTCTTTCTGTTCTGTTTTATTTTGTTGCTGGGGATAGAACCCAAGGCCTTGTGCATACAAAGAATATGTTCTACCACTCAGCTTCAAGATCACCGTTTTTTTAAACCAACTCTAGGGGCCAGGATGGACTTAGACAAAGCACTCCTCCAATCCAAAGAACCTACAAATTCACCATGCAGTCACACAGACACGCACCCAGATTTTCTGGCTTAATGATGTGACCAAGTGTTTACATTCACAGAAGGATAAAAAGCACTCTAACTGTCCACAATAGGAGGTAAAAGTTTAAAGGCGAAGTGGGATCACTAATTGTGTATGTCGACTTGACGTGAGTAAGAACAGCCCAGCAGATCAGTAAAGCTCTGGGTGTGTTTGTGGATGACTGACAGGCAGGCTGCAAACAGAGGAGGGAAGACCCTCCCCAGATGCAGGTGGCACCAACCAACAGGTCTGTAGCCTGGCTGGATAAAAAGGGGAAAAAGAAGGAAGTCTGCCTTTTTCTTTTATAGGAGTTCTGGCCCTCACCATTGGTGTGGGACACCATCTCCAGTTCCTCCAGAGTCCCAGTGCAGACTCTCCAGCCTTCCACTGTAGGCCCTGCCACTTTCCAACACAGACACGCAGCACACGCTGCATGGAGCTCCGGGCTTTGACTTCTCCTGAATCCTCTCCCTCTTCAGCGTGCAGACAGGCATTTCAGATTCCACTTCCTCTGATTCCTCAGACAGCCACTGGGACTCCCCTCCTTCTGATCCTGTAAGCCTACCTAATAAATCCCTTCTATAATTACATTTTATATTGATTCTGTTTCTCTAGTGAACCCTAGTACAAGAAACCTTCAGGAACTATCAGAAATATCAGTACAAATGTCATCAGTCTTCAGTTTATAAAATGAAATTGCCACAAAACCCCAAAGGTGACCCGCAGCTTGCACTGAAATCTAGGTGAGCAAGTTACTGTCCTTCCTCTATATTCCTAAATGCAGAGAAAACTAGATCTATCTTCCATAGCAACCAGCACTAAATCATGACCAGAAGATATGCTTCATGGTAGGAAAATAATTTTCCAACACAAAGAAAACAGAAGAGAGTCCTCTGTTTGTAAGAAATATATTCCGGCAGTCTCAGCTAATAAGCAAAGACATTTTTTATATCTTTATCATGGTAAAAATCTGAATTATGGCCCAAATAACATATTAGAGAAAAATTACAGCAATGATTCTACACCTTGACCAAACATCTCAGAAGCTTTGTAAAACTCTCAAAAGTCCAGTACACATCAAATCAGTCACATCAAACTCTCCGAAGATGGGACCCCAGCATCATTATTTTTTAAAGCTCCAAGTGGACTACAGTGTACCATCATACTTGAGCACACATGAGCTATAGATTATTTTCAAGCTATCTTCCACATCAGAGAGCTGATCTTAGCATGCTGAGGGCCCCTGAGATGCTGGGAAAAGAAGTCTTTGTCTTCTTCCAGACCTTGTAGAGGGGCTGAGGAACATGCACACTGAGGTTCCCCTACTTAAAATACAGCTCTGATGATGCAGAGTTCAGGAGAGCCCCTGGTCTTTATTTCCTAACAGTAACCCTCTGGCAGCAATGTGACAGGCCGCAGCATGAGCCAACACACAGATCCAGCTGAACCAGAGTTACAGATCACATCTAAAATACCCACAAAAGGCTCATGTGCTCAAAGTGCGGCTTTGGAAGGTGACTGGATCATATGGGTGCCATACTCAGAAGATCATTTGGTGTTGGTGAATGAAGGCCGTGAGGCCTGGCTGGAAGAGGTGGGTCACTAGGATGTGATCTGGAAGGATGTGTTCTTATCTGGGCCCCTTCTACTTTCTCTGGTTCTCTGCCCACTCTCTGCTTCCTGTCTGCTTTGTGTTGGGCAGCTTTCCTCTGCCACGCCCTTCCACCATTCCATTTCTGCCTTAGAGCCAGTTACCATGGACTGAACCCTCTGTGAGTCAAATAAACTGTGAGTCAAATACACCTCTCCTCCTTTAGGTTGTGTGTGTCAGGTATTTCGTCCCAGTGACAGGAAGGCTAACTAACACAGCCAATATCACCTAGGATGGCACTAGTCTCAGAATATCACATAACCACCATGTGCCTCCTTGCAGGAGAATGAACACTCTCTTAACAAAATATGTGCAAAGAAATAAATGAGTAAGCTTCCTGGCTATTTTCCTCTGTGATATCTACTTTATCTGAATCAAAAGAAGCCCTCAATGTTTGCCACTGCTATGCTCCAGGCTTCTCCAACTTAAATCCGGCTTTAGATACTTTTGATTGGTCTTCTTTGAAAGCAGACTTCTGACAGGGATGAATAGAGCAGAACTGTATTTTAAACCTCCACTGGAATCAATGCATATTTGTTTAAAGTTTAAACAAAAAGTTTAAAGGCAAAATTTTACTGAAAAAGTTAAGAAGAAAAACAAACATATTGCAGACAAATATTTTAAAATAATATTTTAAATAACAGGAATATTTGAAGTGTGAATTTGGAAAGGCAGGGAAAAGCTGTATAGAGATATTTAGAAATTAATATTTTAAAGTGTGCTTATTTAATAAAGAAAAAAAAACAGGCTAACTCTAATAGTCCTTTCCAAAATGAGTGCTAATGGTAGACTGCTCTGTGTGCCTCACATGTCATAAGAGTTAAGTACTGCAGTCAGGCTGGTAAATTCCAACCTTGATCTGCACACGTGAGATCGCTTAACCGATGTGTAGTGCACTTAACCTACCTCTGTGCCTTCCTCATCTCTAAGACTGTGTGATGAAGAGTACCTACCTTCTAGGTGGAGGAACTGGAACCCGCTGCACTGCTGGTGGGAATGCTGAATGTTGCAGCTGCTGTGGAAAACAGTGTGGAGGCTCCTAAAGAATTAAACACAGAATTACTGTATGATCCAGCAGTTCCACAAACAGGTTGACACCCACAAGGACTGAACAGATATCCATGTACCCATGATCACTGCAGCATTACCCACAGTAGCCATGAAGTACAAATAACCCAACTCCACTGACTCCTGAATAAACATGTGCTAAATACATACAATGCAATGCTCTTCAGCCTCAAAAATAAACTACAACACATGCAACAACATGGATGAATTTTGAGGATATGAAGTCAAGTGAAACATGCCAGTCCCCAAAAGACAAACACTGTGTGATGCCATTTATAGAACAATACAGGACAGTAGACAAAATTACAGAAATATTAAGTAGAACGGGGCTGCTGGGGTGGAGGGCAGAAAGAATAGACAGCTGGTGTTTAACAGGTACAGAGTTTCAGTTTGGAAAGGTGAGAAAGTTCTAATGAGAATGGTGATGATGGCTGCACAACAACGTGACACAGCTCGTGCCAGCAAACTACACATTCACAAGTCATTAATGCGGTAATTTTTATGCCATGTACATTTTACCACAATAAAAACATTAAAATCTAATTTAAAAGTAAGAAAGAACAGTACCTAACTCCTACAGTTGTAAGGGTTAAACCACACGGGAAGTGTATAGGGCGTGCCTCACGCATAACAAGTAAATATCAGCTTTTGTCTTATTTCCCTGTCTCTGTGGCTCCCTGCAATCCACACTACAGAATTCTCAGGGAAAAGATGGCTAGGGCAGACTTCGAGGCTCACCCTCAGAGCTGGAGGCCTTCTGCAAGGTGAAATTTCCAGACCTGAACCTTTTTGTAGCATAAGTTCTCCTTTATTGCACTATACTATCCACTAAAATCATAAAAAGATGCCAACTAATTTCTGTTTTATTTTTTTAATTTATTTTAAAAATAAAAAAGGAAAACATTAACAAACAGACATCCATTTACAAAATAGCATAAGAACAATACAAGCAATACTGAATTACAGACAAAGTGGTAGGAGATTAACCATGGTTGTTGTATTAGGTATTGATATCTTCAAAGTGGTTTCTCAGGAAAACAAATAGACATGCAAGATTGATCAAATATGTAATCATTAACTGTTCCTTTCAGTAAAGCAATAGAAGTCAGCAGTACAACTGTTAGCTATCCTGTATATACATACATATATAATTTCCCCTTCTTTCTCTTTTCCTTCATCCCAGTTGCTCTTTACTTTTGAGCATTTTCCTTTCGTTTCACAATGTCTATCATACCTGCTAAGTTTTATTCACTTTTTCAGGTTCTTACACTAGTGAGACAATGAGGTGCTTACACATGGAGGTCTGGTTTATTTCACTTATGAGTATGGTCTCTAATTGTGACCATTTCCCTGTAAAGGCCTTGAGTTTATCTTTCTTTAGAGCCAAGTAATACTCCATTATATAAAAGTACCACAAGTTTTTTATTCATTCCTGAGTGGATGAACATTTGGGTTGCTTCCACAGTTTAGCAACTACAAATTACGCGGCTACTAACACGGGCGCACATATATCACTGTGATATGATGTTTTCAGATCTTCTGGGAAAATACCCAGAAGGCAAATAGCTGGGTTGA